CCAACACCAAGGAATGTGGGTACTGACTGCTGAGGACACCCAGGAGGACACCACACAGAGTGACAAAGTCTCAACAGGAGAGTAATGAAGAGAAAATCTGAGGCAACCTGGAGTCCACAGATGAGAAAGTGGAGGAATAACGCCTTGGTCCCACATACTTCCCGGACTGTATAGCCCAAAGGCCAGGAGCAGGGCCTGCAGCCTGACCCAGTGGCGTGGGTTCCACTCCCACCTCTTCCACACAGTAATTCTCTTCTCCTGGTCTCAGTTGACTGTAAAATTGGACAATGATAGGGGACCTACTGCAGCAGGCTGTTGTGAGAATTGAAAGAATTAAGCTTGAAAAGCACTTAGAACATGGCAAGCTGACGGAGAGCATGTCCGAGTCTCCGTTACTGGAGTGAATGTCTAATGCTCGCTCACGCAGGGCCTGTGTCCCTCCTAGAACTTTCTCTATCGCTGATGTTAGCCATGAAGTCGTCCTGTGGATTCTGAGACTGACACCCTGACTTAGCATTTGAACCTCAGCCAAATGTACCAGTCCGAAAGGGGTTTCCCCTCCCAGATGTCAGCCACCTCCAGGTGGCCTCAAAGGCCAGCTGAAACCAGTGGTCATGCGGGTTCCTCCTCTCTGGGCCTGCCTGAGCCGGAGCGCTCACTGTCTGAACTGGGCGGCCAGAGCCCAAACAAGCTCCTGCAGGTGCTGACCTGCAGGGCCCGCAGCCAGCCTGTCAGCCCAGCCGGCAGAGGAGTACAGACTGCAGCTATTGACTTCCCCTCCATAAACCCTGCTTGTGGGGTCCACTCCGGGCAAACTGGGCACAGCGAAGTGTCTGAAGTGCTGAGGAGCTGGTCCCCCGAGGGCTGTCCCCAGGGGGCCAGGGCCTGTGGAGATGGCTTTTACACCAGGGCCCTCCATTACAACATCATCCCAGTAACAACGAATTCCATCAAGCTTTCCCAAGGCCACTATTATTTATCTTACCCTGGTTACTAGAAATAGAATCTCAACAACAAATGATCCAGTATTACAAATGCTGTCTGCTGTCCCTGCCCAAGGAACATTGAGAAACTCCATCTCTATTGTAAAAGGAATTTTAAAAGACAAAACCAGATGATGGAGGGTATTTGAGAAGGCAGCATGGGGGGTGGTGGCTGGGATCTTGCCACATGGGTTATGAACCTAATCTGGCTCCCTTCTCACCAAGTTAGGAGAGTAATGAGAATAGAACTTTCTGGAAACTTCTCTCTTTAGACTCTAAAGAGACTACAAAAAACACCAGTGTTCCTGGGTTCTTTGTTATAATAAAGAAAGCCGGGTAGCCCCCTCTGGGCCCTCCCAAGAGCCCTGTCCTGACTTACAGGCAGACCTGGGGCACCCCCATTTCCCTCCCAGCACAGAGGCAGGACCGGGAGAGTTCCCCAGCTGCCGAGTTTTGAGGGAGTTGCCACAAGCTTGTTCATTTGTCCGGAAAACACACTGGTTTTCTCCCTCTTTGGAATGTAAGATGAACGTTGCCATTTTCACCAGAATGAAGGGCTCACTGTAAACCCGCAGCAGCTCGGGGCTGGGTGGGCGCGGCGGGGCGGAGGGCGCGGGGTCCCGGGGCCGCCAGCTCCGCACCGCCCGCCGGCTGCAAAGGGTGCGGAATGGTTTTGATTTGCAGCGGGGAGAAAACTGGGAAGCCAGACTTCAGGACAGACAAGGATCCGGTTCTGGGGCAGACGGGCTGTGGGCTGTGGGCTGTGGGCTGGGCCCCGCCCCTGCCTGGACGTCTTTTTTACTGAGCTGGGACTGGAGGCCAGTGAGCCGGCTGATGGCAACAGCAGATGTGGCTGTGGCGGTGGCAGCCAGGTGGCCTCGGGCCAGGGAGGAGCCACAGGCTCAGAGTAGCAGCAGGGAGACGGAGAAAAGCCGGACAGGGAACGTGGGCCAGGGAGGCCGGGCAGCGTGTGGAAGACAAAGGGAGAGCTTCATGGGGGGTTGCTGACGGGAGCAGAGCCGGGAGCTGTGGGCCAGCTGCTTGGGTCTGGGCGGCGCATCAGACAGGCCTGGGTGGGGTCCGAACCTGCCACTTCAAAGCTGCACCAGCTATTGAGTCCTGAGCCCCCCTTCCAGTATCTGTGCGGGGACTAACATGGGGTGTGGGGTTGGTGTGGAGAGCACTGCGCGCAGAGGTTTCAATACGGCGAAAGTCCCTGTTACCACCTGCATGGCCCTGAGCAGGTCATTCAATCTCTCTGAGCCTCAGTTTTCTCATCTTTAAAATGGAAAAGTGGTAGTATTACCTTCCTCACAGGATTCTTTAAAAGATCAAAGGAGAGTGTTTATAATCACATTGTAAATGCTCAGTGAATTCTAATTCCTTTCCTTTCTCCTCTTCTCTGCCCTTACACACACACACACACACACACACACACACACACATCCCTCCCTCCTTTCCCTTACCCAGGTGGCAAGGCAAAGCAGGTGTTCCTGGTGGGTGTTCCCCTACCAGTCAGGAGAGGGTGTTCTCAGTGCCGGATGGTCCTCATTCAGACATTTTAAAACACTTGGAATGGTTCCTGGTGCCATGGGAAGGCTATAGAACACAGGCAGGGAGCAAAGCTGTGTCTGAATCCACACTCAGTCATTTATTTGCTGGCCGTGGGCCTGTAGCCTATCATGTGTACTTGGTGGCCTTCGATTGCCCTTTCTGTAAAATGGGAGAGATGATACCCATCTCATAGTCCGTTGTAAGAATTATGTCTATAAAATGCCTAGAGTAAGTGACTTATTAAAGAAATCTTAAATATTAAGAAGAAAAAAGAAATTTTCAAAGCAAAAAGCAATTAAGAGATACTAATAATGAGAGGAGCAAAGGTAATGAAACATGAAGCTAAAATTCATGATGTATTCTAGAACTATAAATAGTCATGTGAGCCTGAGACAGTGGACAGAACGGGGACTTGGGTGGTTTCCAGTGCTTGTTCGTGCTCTCTCTCTCGCTCTCTCTCTCAGTGTGGCCTTGAGAAAACCACTCTGCACTCTGTCCCTCTCAGACTCCTTCCTGCTCAAATTTCTAAGGTAAAGAATGAGAAACTGAGTCCAGCACAGTGGGAAGGGAGAAGCAACCGGAAGGTGCCAGGAGCTGCAGCTCACAGCTTGGCAAGGGGCAGAAGTCTCCAGGGGTCTGCACACTGGGCAACAGCTGGGAAGAAGGGGGAAGGAGTGTGTACCCATAATAAACAGAATGCAGGCTGCTCAGCACCTTTGCAAGATAAAGCCCTTAGGAAAATTCTCTATCTTTAGTTCCCGGACATGAGTAGAAAACCTGTTAAGCATACAAAGATTAACCTCTTACTCACTAGACATTATTAATACAACCACACAGAATGAAGAGAAATAAAGTGAACATAAGCCAGTCGGAGATTTTTGTCACTGAAATGTTTTTAGAATCTCATGTTAGCAATATTTCCCTTTATGCCCCCAATGCACATCCCCTTCTCCAACGGTAAGTTAGGCTTGAACATAAGAATTGCCTTCCATGTAAGGTAAGGTTTGGGACATCACCAAAAGCTCTGTCAACAACATGCAGAGTATTTACCCCGGGGAGAAAACAGATTTAAAAGTCTGGCTCCATGCCATAGCAGGCCCTCAATAGCTATTCATTTTGGCTGCTTCCCTTGGTCCAATGGGCCCACATTTGGCCAGTATCTCATATGTGAAATCTTATAAAGAAATAAGAACACTGGATATTGTAAACAATAATATAAATTGAGCCACTTTAAAATGGAGTTGGAGCTGTCATGTCCAAGGAATCGCCTCACATGTCTTATACCTCAAACCTTGGAATGTTAAAAACAGGCAAAATGACCTTTGGGCTGGGTCCGACCAACCTTGTTTCCCAAAGAACTATTTACAAACATAACAAGATGACTACTTGTCTGATGATTACAGGGCTGAAAATTGAAAACATTGTTTAGAATTAACATCACGTTATCTGCACCGATAGAAATGCTTTCCTCTATTGATTTGTTCCCCTTCCCTTTCTTATTGCCTTTGTCTGCTCATTGAAACATTAATGATCCCAGAATAGCTCAAATAAACACTTGTTTGCCTTTCCATTTAAAAGACCTTATTTTAAGTTTACAATTTAGTCCGAAGACAATGACTCAGGTCCTTTGTGTAAAGTTGAGGACATCACTCAAAGCTCAGAGCCTATTTTTCTCATCTGCAAAGTAGTATTTCCTCCCGCATCCTCCTCACAGGGTTCTCCAGAGGGGTGGCTGAGGCTAGGTATGCGAAAGCACTACTCAAATATAAGGTGTGACTATTTGCCCATAAAGACGGTGGCTTACTTAGCTTGCATGAAAGGTCTGTCTGGCCCAGATGGACACAGGCGAGTGGCCTGGCTGTTTTAGCACACACTTTTGTGGCAGGAGCTATGAGGGACTGCTGAATGGCCCAGGTCCATGGCTCCAAGCTTCTACAATGAGAACCAAGTGCACTTTTTGAAAGCAACATACCCAAAATGAGGTTTGCCAAATCAAGCATGGATGGGGAAGCAGTAATCTCATGAAGAAGTATTAGCATCTTCCAGGCTTAGCAAAGATGTCTTCTCATCACAAAACATATAGCCAGACATGTCTGGTTTACCTGCAGGATCGTGAAGGAAAGGAAAGGGAAATACGCTATTCTTGATTATAAAGCAGCAAATTACAATTTACAGCACTCACAGGGTGTGGCCTTGGACAAGGTATGTGACTTGTTTGTAAGCCTGTTTCCTCATCTGCAAAGTGGGAATAACAGCAGAATGCACCTCTTTGGTTGGGACATTTAGGAGATAACCCTTGGAAAGCATAATGCCTAACTCAGCATACCCAAGGTACCAAGTAATTCTCTGTCTGAAGGAATGTTTCAATAAAGACATCTGTTCTTTTAAAATGAGATTTATTGTACATAAAATAAATTAATTACAATTTAAGCCAAGCATGAGTGGCTTTAAAGTGCATCTGTTCACTCGCTGTAAGATAGTGTTTTGGTATTTAAGCCATGACTCAACCAGGCCTGGGAAACAGCCCAGAGTCATTGCCATAAGCCATGTACACAAATTACACCAAATTCAATGGACACATTTTTTTTTTTCCTGTACCTAGTGTAACAGTTTTTTTTTTCCAAGAAAATTATACAGTCTCACAAACCACTCAAAGTTTGGGGCTGAAGAGTTTGAATTCTCAACCACTCAACACAGGTCCAACTAAGCACCCTCCCTGTGTCTGGCCATACAAGCTTACAGATGTTGGGGTACACATTTTGGCCCATAAACTCCACCCTTTTTGAGGGGATGGGGAATATTTTCCTCTTTGTTCTTTAAAAAAGAAATCTGGGTCCCCTCACGTTAGAAAGGCATCCTATAAGGAAGAGCGTGTTCCAGGGGTGCAAATCTTCCTTGTAAGAGAAGAACAACTCTTCCTTGGGCGGGAGGAGGGCTGGGGGAGAAAGAGGGAAGAAGGAAGAAAGGAAAGCCCGCGAGAGCTGGATCTATTCTTTCAGACCCACTGTAAATCACATCAATAGATTTGGTGAAACTACAACTGAGCACCATTAATAAGATAGTTAAGGACAAAATCCAAAGTGATTATGTCCCCTCCCCCTCCACAGGAAAAGACATGGAGTACATTTCACATATTCAGAGAGTGGCTCTGTGGGCTCCTTCGAGCCTCATCAAGTCTGTCCCCTGCTCAGAACAATGCTTCCTTTTCTGCCAGTTCCACAGGCCCTTCTGGCCTCCCTGCGCCAGCCCTTTCTGGAACCACGAATTCCTGCCAGCGTTCAACGTTCCTGCACTGGAAGAACCTCAGACTCTCTTCCCGGGAGACCAAACCCCCCTGAGTGCCTCTGCTTCAGACGGAGGTGACAGTCCTCACTTTGGCAGAGAGGGCTTGCTTGAACCTCCTCTTCAGGTCCTGCATGTTAGGCGACTTGGGCCTGGGGATGAGGGAGGTCCTCCGCTTCTCTGGCGTGCTGCTTGGCGGCTGCTTGTGACTCACTTCTTTGCACAGGACGTGGAAAGCGTTGTAGACGTCGTTGTAATTTTCACTGACGGACACTTCATAGAATGAGCAGCCCAGCATGCTGGCCAGCTGTAGTCCAAGCTGAGGGTCCACCTGCTTGATGTGCAACAGGTCAGCTTTGTTGGCCACGACCACCACGGGCAGCCGCGTGCCCAGGTGTAGCTGCTGGACGTGCTGGTGAAGCTGGCCAATGAGTTCATAGCTCTTGTAGTCGGTGATGGAGAAAACGATTACCACAGCATCTGCCCAGCGGATGCACCTATTCAGCTGTTCGTTGCAGCTCAAGCCATTCTCGTGGACCTGAAAGAAAGGGGTAACAGCAAGGTGAACGGCGAGTGCAGAAAAGATCCCTGATTTGGCTGGATACAGAATTCAAAAGAGCCCTTGACAGTAATGCCAGGTCGCAGGCCATAAACAAGTTATATCCCTACACACTTCAGCTTTCTTGACAATATGTTGATCCAGCTGCACAGAGTTGGAATAAATAACAGTGCAGCTCACCACACTCAAGTGGAAAATTGACCTGCAGAGAACTCCATGCAGAGAGACTTTGTAGTTGCATAAAATGGGAAATTAACTGGCTAGACAGTAAGTCTGGGGAAGTAAAGATAGGAGCTGGAAGCATTTAAACCTGGATAAATGCCCAGTTCAAGAGGGGAAAAAAACACACACATACACACTAGCATGGCTCTTTTGTCTATAGAGTAACTTTCCACAATAAAAAGTGATTCCAAGTATTTGTAGACTATACCTACATTTTGATATTTTAATGGCAAAACACAAAAGTAAAAAGTGACCTTTTTCACCATAGCAAGGAAACTGCCAATTTCAAGTGTGCTTGGTTTGGTCTTTCCTGCTGGGTAGAATCCTTCCTAAGAGAACATTTCTGTCCCTCAGCTAACTCTCCCAAATCAAGCCAGGTTAAGACTAACAGCCAGATAGATCTGAGCTGTCAAACATGTAAAAGCCTTGACGTGACTCCCCCAATTTCTCTCCTCCTTCAGCATGCGGCACTTTGAGAAGTGAACAATTCTACAGTCAGTAGACTCCCCATTGACCTATTCATGCATCTCAGAGCTTCTTACCTGAATACCTGGAGTGTCTTGAACCTGAATAGCCAGTGTTTCACCTTCTATTTGGACCTGTCTGGTATAGAGATTACCTATCAAGGCAAAAAAAAAAAAAAAATTATATTCATCCTTCTTGTACAACTTTGAAAACATTGTGGGATTTTTCTTAACTTAGAAAATATAAACTGAATCAATGCAAAAAAAACTATATTTATCCTAGTTAATGGGCTTAATTCAGATTTTTTTTTTTGGAAACAACTATAATTTTAACTCCATATTACTTGATTTATTAAAACCAGGGCAAAGTTTGCAAGCTTTTGGAAAATGATTTGTCTGATTTTAAACAGAGCTTCCATATTTAAAGTATTTCCCTGCTCAGCATGTGTGAGGTTTCTATTTTATTTTAATACTTTATCACTCTTTGACATATATTTATATTTTAGCTATCATATACAATGGCTTGGTAGGCAAATGTTGTTAGCAAATGCACAGCCAACATTACCAACTGAAATAAAAATGTGACATAACAATAGCCAACTTTACATCAAAGCAGAGGCTGCCGTGCCTTATCTTGGGATGATTTATATAGTACATTTCAAATAATCTCCTGTAGGTACTTCATGTGGTCTAAAAGGAATGAAACAGTTTGCTAACAGAACATAAGTTGAAAGCTCTTAAGCCTCCCCAGTGGCCAGTCTTAATCATAGGGATTGAAATAGTGTCCTCTTATTTATTCAGCAATTCTCCTAAATTCTAGTGTGTAGTCTTTTTTCTTTGTTAAGAAAAAAGGACTTAAGGTTTACAACTGCTCTCCTTTGGCCTTTGCTTTAAAAGGTCACCTCTGAAAGGCAGCCAGCAGAGAAGGATAGGGTGGGGGGAGGAGCTGGCCATCTTTTTTTTTTTATGACTTTTGCAGGAGTGTTTTGAAGGGAGAGGCTCTTCAGAACAAAGGGTGCTTCCAACTGGGGTCCCCATAGTTAAAACATACCAAGGGGAATACTTCAGGCACTTGATAAAATGATGAATGGGCTTGGACTGGAATGAGGCCAGATGGCAGTTATGGGAGGGGGGCAAGGCAAGATCCTGATGCTGACTGTCACTCTGAGGAACCTGCCTGAAAGACACTGAAAAATGAGAGCAGCAGCTCTGGTGCAAGCTGATGGTATTTTCCTCACATGCACTTCCTCACCTGCATTTCTTTCGTAGTCACCAATGAATCGTTTGGTGAGGAACCGAACCACCAGAGCTGCAGGTCAGAAAAAAGAAAGGAAAGAGGCTTAAAGCTGGCGCTAAAGTTAGATTGATCTTCACCCTACCCCCAGCCTGGAAAACACCTCTCCCAGAGAAAGTCAGCTGGCCACCAAGTGAAATTCCTACCCCCCAAGCTCCTTGACTCTTCTTCCAGACACATGGACAAGGGGCTAGAAGGCATGGTGAATTATGGCTCTGTCCAGCTGGAAGGGTCATTTGGCCCACCCCTCCTCTGAGCCACACCTAAGCCTTCCAGCAGACAAATGTCTCTCCTAACCTTAAAGACTTCGAGGAGAGGTTACGTCCCCTAAATTCCCTCTTGTGCCAGGCACTACCAGAGCCTCAAGAACCCCAAAGTTCTAATCTCGGTTGTGTCGGTGGTGCCAGGAAGGTCGCCTGGCCACCCTGGAGCCCAGTTTCCCTCATCTGTCGAAAGAGGGGTTAGAAGCGATGCTGGCTAGGGTCGCTCCGGAGGATCAGTGGATCAACTGGAGACGGCGGGCAGTCCAGCTAGTCCAGCTACAGCTCCCACCTCTCGCCTGCCTCGCTTATCCGCAACTCCCAGCGGCTGCCGCCCACGTCCAGCCCCGGAGATAAGCGGGTTCCCGTCCGAGTGCGAGGACTCACCGGTCTTGCCCACGCCGCTGGCCCCCACCACGGCGATCTTGACCAGCCGGCGGCCCGCCGCCCCCAGGCAGTAATCTGCAGCGGCGGCGCTGCCCGCAGCGGGGTACTCGGCGATGGTGCACATGTTCTGAATGAGGCGCATCGCCGCTCCGGCCGGGGCTGCTTCGCGCGGGACGGGAGGAGGCTCGCTCTGCGCGGGAGCGGGCGGGAGGACCCGGCCGAGGGGCTTCGCGGTAAAAAGAAAAAAACAACAAAAAAGAGCACTGGAGTGGACACGAGCGTACGGCTCCAGCAGGCTTAGACTCCGAGCTGCGCCTGCACCCGGGCTGCGCGCGCGCTGTTTTCTCCGCGGTGGACCCCGCCCCCTGTCTCCCGAGGCCAATCCCCGGGCGTCCTGCACGAGGCCCCGCCCCCGGCGCCGAGCTGCGCGCGCCGCGCCCCTGGGGGCGCCGGGAGCTTGTGCGGGGCCCCGTGAGGCGCTGGTAAAATGGGGCAGCGGTCCGGAGCGGAGCTACGTGGAGGCTGGAGTCGACGGCTCAGCCAATGGCGGGCGCCGGCGAGGGCAGCGCTGGGCGCCGGCCGGGGTCCCGCTGCGCATCACGGGGCAGACGCTGTGGCTGAGGGGTTGGGGGCGCCTCGGGTGCCGGGAAGTGGGGCTCAGCCGGGGATCGGGCGAGGTCCAGGCCTCCCTAGAACACTTCCCGGGCTTCTGCCCCGCTCTGGGTGCCGAGCCCGCCCTCCTGCTCCCCACAGCCAGCCGACCTCTCGGCCCCAACCGCGCCCACCCTCTGGGAACCTGCTCCCGGAGGCGGGGGGCCTCCAGGGTGTGAGCTCCCGGGGCCTGGGAGCCAGCCCTGGTGCCCGGCATCGGCATCGTGCCTGTCTTAGTAATTTGGGGCGTGATTGCACTGACTTGGGTACCTCAGGGGTGGCGTTTGGATTATAGATGTGGTTACAATGGTAATCAGTAACAAAGACCCCATAAAACTCTCCTAAAATGTGACTTTTGATTTTGGAGCACAATAATGTCACCTTTTTGTCTGTAGATGCACATTCTCTGTCTGTTGTCGACAGGGCGCGGATCACTCATCCTCTGACAAGCTCCCAGGAACACACATGCGGTTGGGTGCCATGTTCACACTCCCAGAGGCAAATCAAGAAGTAATTATGGAACAAGCTTTCTAGCACCTCACACACAGTCACACTTCCAAGAGCTGTGAAATGGAAAGAAGCGGTTACCCCAGCTGTACACTGGGAAGCAGAAACCAGAAAGGATCCACACTTCGTCTGTGGTCACAAGGAATGGCAAGGTTAGTCAAGTGACGATGCCAAGGAAGATGTGTGTTTGCACTCATAAAATCCCCAGCCCCAGCCCCCTGCATCATCAGGGAAAGACATCTTCAGTGGTAGGCTAGATTTCCCATCTAAGCAATATTCTGTAGCTGGAACTGACTGAAAAATGTCACCACTCAGGCTGACCACCCCCATCCCATCCCCTCCCCTCCCCAACCTTCATATCTTGCGGGGGCCCGATGTTCCAGAGGCTTTTATCCTGGGTACAAACACTGAAGCTTTGTATCTACAGCCATATTAAAGGTTGAAATGTGAAAGTATAAACCAATTCTCTTATCTACACGTGAGGCATCTAGTTTGATTCCTTCTTCCACCCTGAACTCAATTGACCAGGTATTTGATGGAATTTATGATGCTGACACAATTCAGACGGATGAACCCTCCTGCCTGTCTAGGTTAGGTATTCTCAAGAGTTCAAGGAGGAGGAAAGGTCATCTCAAACTGCCTTGGTTGCAAGTTTTCTAGGATGGGCAACATAATTGCCAAGACAGGCAATCAACAATAAAAGGTTGACTTCTGTGGAGATCTCAAGAATGAAGTAAATTCAGCCACTTGAGTAAGGAGGTGGGGGGAAGCATTTAGAATATGTACCATGTCCTGCGTGGTTTAAATCAAATTTTAATTTTTATGTGCTATAAAATCAAACGTAGCAAGACTATAATTACAGGTAACCATGTACTTTTTAAACCCCTCCCCCCAAAAGCCTGTAATTCTATCATGCTTACATGGTGAAATAATTATGTAGTCTAAAGTTTTTGTTTAACTGCTTTTTGCACGCGTGCGCACACACACGCACATTCACATACAGACATGACAAAAGTTGTCAAGGGGAATTTTGCTTTGACTCTAAAATGCTTCTTGATTTTTATTACCATGAGCCTGTGCCAAGCCTATGATTTTTCTGTCTGAAACACAAAAGCTGAATTTGGTATCTTATTTTAGGTCTAAATTATCTGTCTGTGCTTTAAAGAGCATAGAAAAGAAAGAAACGAGAGAGATGGAGAAAAGAAAGGAGAGCTCTTCACATTCCAAACATCTAGCAAATAGCCTACCTCCACCTACCTTCAAGTAACGACACTGAGAGTTACCCCTTCTTGGAAATTCATAGAATTAATAAAGAGAAAGGGTAAGGGACAGGAGAATTGATATATATTGAAGACTTCTTTTGTTCCAGGCTGTAGGCTAGGGATTTAGCATACAAAAATCACATTTTACCTTTGTGACAATCCTGTGAGGTACATATTATCATCACTTGCAGTTACATTATCTACTGCTGCTTGGTAAACCACCCTGAACCTTGGTGGCTCACAGTTCTGTGGGTTGACTGTGCTCAGCTGGGCAGTTCTCACTTGGGGTCTCTCTTGTTGCAGTCAGATCGTAGCTGGGGCTGGAGTCATCCGAGCCTCACCCACACATCCAAGATGGCTTCTTCATGCACCTATCTGCATTCCATCTGGAATGCCAGGACAGCTGGGAATAGCCGTCATCTCTCTCTCTATTCGGCCTTTTCCATGTGGTAGCTAAAGCTCCTTCATAGCATAGTGGGTGACTTCCCTTAAAGCAGTGGTTCTCAACCTTCCTAGTGCTGCGACCCTTTAATACAGTTCCTCATGTTGTATGTGGGCGTATCTGCATGTGGGCGGACCCTCCTGGAGACGGATAGAGGAGCGGTGTCTCAGTTCCTAAACCATGGGAAATATGTGTTTTCCGATGGTCTTAGGTGACCCCTGTGAAACGGTCATGCAACCCCCAAAGGGGTCGCGACCCACAGCTTGAGAACCACTGCCTTAGAGTGAGTATTCTAAGACAGGAAGCGGAAGCTACCAGTCTTGTAAGGCTCCTACGTGGAAGTTGGCATCGTATCACTTCTGCTATATACTATTGGTCAAAAGTTACAGAGTCCACCCAAATTAAAGAGCAAGTGGCAGGAACATAGATCACACCTTCAGATAGAAGCAGTGTCAAAGGATTTGTGGTCATCTCAAATTCACTCCATTTTATAAATGAGAAAACAAAATATCAGGTTAAAAATTTCTCCAACGTCAAATATTCTTTAAGGGACAGAGCCAAAATCTGACAAGAATAAATAACATAGAAAATAGCCAGAATATTCACAGTGAAATGGATTCCTATGATGCAATGCTACAAAGTGGTTTGAACCACTCTTGCTCTTGCTTTCTCTCTCTTGTGCCTCCTTTTTATTGTTTAAGCTAAAAAATAATGGGGTTGGGGGTACTAAAACATGAGAAACTTGGGAAGGAAAGAAATATTTTGCTAACTTCTGATTTTGCCTCAGCACCCAGAGTTTCCATTACCTCCTTTGATCTTTACAGCTGATCTTAAATCTGAGAGCATCCAGAGATAATCCAGTTTCTGGAATTCTTTAGTGTAGTAGAATATAAATTCAATAAATATTTATGGAACATCCAAACCATGGGTGTATCAACACTATGCCGGGCCCCCAGTCTACACTGGCAAACAAGACAGACTTTGCCGTCACTGCAGTTAACATTTTGCATGGGAGACAGAGAAATGAATGAGCAATTTCAATACAGTGCGAGGAAGTGCTTTGCTAGGAGACATTCAGGAACTATAGCATCACATGGGAGGACTTAAAAAGCGGACTGTGGGAGTCAAGAAAGAATGTGTAAAAGTTTGAGCGTTGAAAAGCTTGTGTTTTGTGTACGCATATGTGTGTGGGGGGGTGTATGCACATATATGTGCGAGTATGAAGCAGAGGCCTCGGTGGTGGAGAGGTGGGTTAATTTCTGAGGATATAGTATTGCAAATACTATACGGAGATAGTACGTACTCAGTACATACTTCTGGACTGTCAATGAAAGCAAAGGGCTCACTGAGAGAATGAGTTCAAGGAACAGAATAGTTCCTAATTGGTGGACCGAGGGAAGAGTCCTGGTGTTTCTAAGGAGAGACACATATATGAACGAAATAAGTCCCAGAAGTTGAGTAGTCCTCCTTTCTATGCGATCATGCACCATGGAAGCCAAACGAGCTTCCCCTCTGCCTGTCACCAAGAGTTTCTCCCAAAGCATCCCCCTCTGAGCATCCAGGCCTTGGTCAACAACCACACTTTTTTTCTCAGTACCGCAGGCTGACGCTCTAACCGCTGCGCCAAACCGGCCAGGGCGGCACACTTTTTTTCTTTAGACTTTTCTCAACCCTGCTAGTTAAATCTAGTAAACCTACACCTTTTTAGCTATTTTAAACAGAAAATTACTTAATACAAGGAATTACCTGCATTCAGTGTTGTCAGAATGGCTAGAGTGGTGGGCTACAGGCTGGGTCTGCAGAAATGATTCTCAGAGCTGCAGAACTGGCCCACCCAGGGAGCTGCTACCTCTTCCACAATCAAGAAGGGGGATCAGGATATCTCCACTGCAGCCATTGCTACTGTCTTTCCAAACCCACAAAGATAGAGACTGAATATGGCAGAAAGGGCAAGTATTTCCACAATGGAGCCTGGCAGCAGAAAGCAACCAAGCCACAAAGATGGCCTCCTTTCTGCTTCTGCCTTGCAAATCGTAGCTGAGTGCATCTAATTAATTTATTTTCTATCCATTACCCCAGCTGCAAAGGAGTATGGGAAATGTGTTTAGCTTTCTAGTCTCCGCCATTCGTGAAGACACTAGAAATGGAAAGAAAGCAGAATGTGAACCCACTGTTTCCTCCACACATCTCTAGCGTCCCAAAGAACATAAAGTCCCAGAAAAGGAGAGATAGGGCCCTACCAGACATTTAATTTGCACTTATAAAAGAGTATATTAAGGTTTTTTTTCAGTTGATTGCTTTGGAATCACTGTTCAAGTCCACTATTTTCCTTGCTTTTATGTAATATGTATCAACACCCATCTCTCTTTTCCTATAGTCTGGCATAGGAAGTTTATATAGATTTTACTTGCTCAGAATCCTTTCCCATTC